GGAGAAGCAGTTAGTCAAAGGAATTCAACCTTTGTACAGAGAGAGAGAGACAGAGAGTCACAGAGAGCAGGAATTCAGCACCAAGGCCCAGATAGTGACACAGGCACAGAAATAGAGAGAGGGGAATCACCCCGATCGCATAGACTCACGAGATTAGCCGAGAAGCGCAAAAAGTACAGGAAGAGGAGGTGGGGGTTTTCCTGTTGGGGGAGAAGGGGGTGGGTATGTGGTTTATGCACTTATGTGTGTGCACTCTATTATTACAACGCTTTCATTCTACAAATCACTTCACCGGTGCACTCTGCAAGCCTTCTGAGTTTCCTTCCATGGGACTTTTCACATCACGAAATTCAGGCAGCCAAGGCAGCCTGTACAGCGCTGGAGAAACATCATCATAATCATCATTAAACTTTATATACCACCCTTCATCACACGATCTCAAGGTGGTTCACAGTTAATGGAAAGAAACACAGGCCAATGATAAAATGTGCTCAAAGCACTGCACCCACCAAAATTCTGAAGTACTCTGAGAATGACACAGAAAAATGGGAGGCTCTTTCACAGAGGAATAACATTTCCAGAAATTGGAGGACAGAATGTGGCCCAGCACTAGCTTGAAAGCCATTCACATTCCGTGAAACACATCTATGAGCTCAGCGAAACTTCACTCCAGTTTCAGGAAAACATTTAAATAAATACACATTTAAAATTCACCCACCCAGTGGAGCCTCATAATCAGATGCTTTCTGTTTTTGCCATCAAAATGAGCTGTTTTATTTAAGTCTCTCAATACCATTTTATCAGCAGCTGGATTTATTATGGTCTACTCATCTGCTAGGGGGATGCGGGTGGTGCTGTGGTTTAAACCACTGAGCCTTGGGCTTCCCGATCGGAGGGTTGGCGGTTTGAATCCCCGCAACAGGGTGAGCTCCCATCATTCGGTCCCAGCTCCTGCCAACCTAGCAGTTCGAAATCACGTCAAAGTGCAAGTAGATAAATAGGTACCACTCCGGCGGGAAGGTAAACAGCGTTTCCGTCCGCTGCTCTGGTTTCATCAGAAGTGGCTTAGTCATGCTGGCCACATGACCCGGAAAAACCGTTTGTGGACAAACGTCTGCTGCCTCAGCCAGTAAAGGAAGATGAGCGCTGCAATCCCAGAGTGGTTCGCGAATGGACTTAACTGTCAGGGGTCCTTTACCCTTACCTTTTACTCATCTGATATTGTGTCCCTCCTAATGGGCCATCATGGGCCATTCAGGAAGAAATGTTGGCAGCTTTCAAGTGCTCAGTAATAATAATCTTGCATTGGTTGAACAGGATCAAACACCATTCACGCTCACTGTATTGTTGCTACTGTTTGTAAGATTTTTCTAGTAAAAAAATAAATGAGGGAAATGATATTGGTTATGAAAGCACCTGGATCCGGATTATGACAGGTTCATTAGTTTTAGAGCCAGATGTAGCCAGTATCGGTGTGCAAAACATGTCCCTTCATTTCTGTAGTTTCTCATTTTTCCACTCCATGGTGCACAGACTGAGTCTGCTCACACTATGACTTAAATTGCACATCTGAAGCACCTTCCCCCCGAAAGAGTTTCGGGTACTGTGGTTTGTTAAGAGAGGTGGGGAATTGTAACACCTGAGGCAGCTGCCTCACTCTGCCAGATGGTGGGATGGCCCTGAGCCCAATATATTTTGCTGCTTGAGGCAAGCCAACATACATAGCAGAATATTCAAGGATGGCCAAATTATAATTAGGTGGTTTGCAATTTAACAGAACCACCTGCGCCATCAGGGCCTTATAAGGCCCCCCAGATCTCCTGCAATGATTTTGCAAAGTTTTTTGCAGATAAAGTTGCTCAGATTCGGAAAGAGGTAGACTCCACCGTGGAAGCAGGGCCAGGGCAGGAGAGTGCAAGAGTCTTGTCTTGTCTAGTTGCATGGGATCAATTCCAATCTGTTACCATCAAGGATGTGAACAGGCTTCTTGGACAAGTGAAACCAACCACCTGTCTCCCTGATCCTTGCCCATCCTGGCTCATAAAAGTAAGCCGGGAAGGACTGGGTGATGGGCTCTGCATAGTGGTGAATTCTTCCCTCTGTGAGGGAGTCTTCCCAGCCCTGCTGAAAGAGGCGGTCATTAAACCTTTAAAAAACATCTTTGGGCCTGGCCAATATGGCCAACTATCGCCCAGTCTTGGGCAAGGTGACTGAGTGGGTGGTTGCTGAACAACTCCACACACACCTGGAGGATGCGGACCATTGGGATCCCTTCCAATTGGGATTCAGGCCTCATCATGGGACTGAAACCACCTTGGTCGTGCTGGTCGATGATCTCCGACGGGTTAGGGACAAAGGTGAGAGCTGTTTCCTAGTTCTGCTGGATCTCTCAGCGGCCTTAACATCATTCTGGACCGTCTAGAGGAGTGGGAGCTGGGGGCACTGTTATACAGAAAGTCGTGTTGGGGGATGAGTGTTCAGACCCCTGGGCTCTCACTTGTGGGGTGCCTCAGGGTTCCGTCCTCTCTCCCATGCTTTTTAATAATCTATATGAAGCCACTGGGAGAGATCATCAGGGGGTTTGGGCTGGGTGTTCATCAATATGCCCAGCTCTACCTCTCTTTTAAATCAGAACCAGTGAAGGCGGTGAAGGTCCTGTGTGAGTGTCTGGAGGCAGTTGGAGGATGATGGTGGCTAACAGATTGAGGTTGAATCCTGACAAGACAGAAGTACTGTTTTTGGGGGACAGGGTGCGGGTGGATGTGGGGGACTCCCTGGTCTGAATGGGGTAACTGTGCCCCTGAAGGCCCAGGTGCGCAGCCTGGGAGTCATTTTGGACTCACAGCTGTCCATGGAGGCGCAGGTCAATTCTGTGTCCAGGGCAGCTGTCTACCTGCTCCATCTGGTACACAGGCTGAGACCCTAGCTGCCCACAGACTGTCTCGGCAGAGTGGTACAGGCTCTAGTTATCACCTGCTTGGACTGCTGCAATGCACTCTATGGGGGGCTACCTTTGAAAGTGACCCGGAAACTGCAACTAATGCAGAATGAGGCAGCCAGACTGGTGACTGGGAGCGGCTGCCAAGACCATATAACACCAGTCCTGAAAGACCTACATTGGCTCCCAGTACGTTTCGGAGCACAATTCAAAGTGTTGGTGCTGACCTTTAAAGTCCTAAATGGCCTTGGTCCAGTATACCTGAAGGAGCGTCTCCACCCCCATCATTCAACCCGGACACTGAGGTCCAGCACTGAGGGCCTCCTGGCGGTTCCCTCACTGTGAGAAGTGAGGTTACAGGGAACCAGGCAGAGGGCTTTCTCGGTAGTGGCGCCCACCCTGTGGAAGGAAATAAACAACTATCCAACTTTTAGAAGACATCTTTAGGGAAGTTTTTAATGTTTGAAGTTTTATTCTGTTTTTAATGTTTTGTTGAAAGCCACCCAGAGCAGCTGGGAAAACCCAGCCAAATGGGCGGAGTAGAATGTATGTATGTATGTATGTATGTATGTTACCATTGGGAAAGGCACCTGACTGAGCAAGCAGGGAGGCAGTAAGTATAGCAGATGTGTGACTAAAAAAGCATTTATTTATTTATTAAATTTGTATACTGCCCTATCCCCAGAGGTCTCAGGGCAGTTCACAGAATAAAATCACAATATAAAAGCACAAAATACATAATCCAAATAAAAACAAGAACAACCCTATAGCCATGACACCTGCCATCATGCATAGTTTGATCTTTAAATGGAAGCACCCTGAGGAAGGTCTCCTTTTCAAACTTCTAGGCAGATTTCTCAACAGCTATAAGCATCTCTTACACCCTGAAACCCCACCTTTCTTCTGGGGAGCTCAAAGTGGGTTTCCTTGGGGGTCTCCCATCCCTGAGCTTCAGGCTTCAGTCTTTCAAATTTCAGCAGTGCCATGTGACTCCCTCAAGGTGGGAGACTCTCCTTCCTTGGAGGTTTCTAAGCAGCGGTGGGATGGCCATCCGTCATGGAGGCTTTAGCTGAGAATCCTGCATTGCAGGGGGTGGACCAGATGACCCTCAGGGTCCCTTCCAACTCTACAATGCTATGATTTTATTATATTTCATCATACTTAGGTCCAGTGGGTGGGGAAAGGTTCAGCTTTTGAATCTACATATGCCGATCAATTAAACTATCTTAATGAAAGGCATGGATTTAAATGGGAATCATTTGATTCGGCTGGATTTCCTCATATTGTTTTTCAGAAAATAATGGATTTTACTTTAGTATAATTAAAATAGCATGATGGTTACGATACAATGGAACAATGTTAATCCAGATTAAGCACATTTTCATGGTATTTTAATCTAGTTTGACTCAGTCTCTGGGTAACCAATGATTTATAAGTGCATTTGTTCAATGTCCTTTCAGGTTCCTCACCTTCAGAGTACAGTGGTACCTCAGGTTACATATGCTTCAGAGGTTACATACGCTTCAGGTTACAGACTCCACTAACCCAGAAATAGTACCTCGGGTTAAGAACTTTGCTTCAGGATGAGAACAGAAATTGTGCTCCGGCGGCGCGGCAGCAGCAGGAGGCCGCCATTAGTTAAAGTGGTGCTTCAGGTTAAGAACAGTTTCAGCTTAAGAACAGACCTCCGGAACGAATTAAGTACTTAACCCGAGGTACCACTGTATGTTTCTTTCTTTCTTTCTTTCTTTCTTTCTTTCTTTCTTTCTTTCTTTCTTTCAAAAATGGCGCTCTTCATCTTGTCGTAGAAATGATTAAGTCCTGCTCCGCATGCAAGAATGTGTGATCCAAAGCTGCCATTTCCCATTTAGCAAGGCCCCAGTCAACTGCAACCTCCCAGAGTGAAGCAGAATGATGCTTAAATCATTTGAAGTATGGCTAACAGGTATAAACAGACTACAAATCAGAATGGCAGTGACCATTGACCATTTTGAAGGGACAATGCAGTTCCATATTTCCAGCAGCAGGAGCAACAGAGAATCTGGGAGGAGATGGTAACCCATAGGAGTGCCATGCAAAATGTCTGGCTGGCACCCTAACCATGGGGCACAAAAACTGGCTCTCCACCCTGACAACCCTCAATGGTGTCTCTCTCAATAGGCTGTTCAGCAACTCCACAGTGAAGCAGAGCACTGTATAATCCAGTGTATGACCCCTTCCTTCAGAGACAGAGATGGGGATAGAAGTCTGGTGGTTGTACAGGAAAGGTGTCTTTTACCCATCCCTCTCTGGCTGTGTCTCAGCAGGCAAGGCCTGAGGTACCTGTCCAGAGACTTGTTCAGGTTCTGGTGAGCTGTATACCATAGATGTCACCATCACAGGTCCTCTCACGGTTTAGGCAAGTAGCTTCGGTGGAATTCTCTGCATCACGGACATTGTACTCTCCTTTTTTACAGGCTGTGGATTTGAGGTAGTAAATGACCCCAGCCATTCCTCCCAGGACCAACATGGTGGCGGCAGCAATTGCTATGACAGCAATAATGTAAAGCCAATGATCTGCAAAGGAGGAAGCAGAGTATTCTTAACAGCGTATTCAGTGTGGTGCCTTACAAAAGGAACGTTTTCTCCTCCAGGTGTTTCCCCATTCACTCAGCCTTCCCTCCTGCTGTTTTTCAACTTGCAGGCAGGGTGGGAAGAATGGCTCTCTGTATCTTTTCTCCTGCAAGTGGAAAAACAGCTGGGGGTGCATGTGATTTTGAACAGAAAAACAGAAAGAAAAAGGATAAAATGAACTCCCACCCTTCACCACCCTGCCATTCCTCTCCCACATATTTTCAGCTTCTGGTGACTGCATTTCATTTTTCTAAGAAGCGAGGCAGGAGACTGTACCCCCACTGTAACATTGTAGGCTTCTCCATACAACCTGTTGAGCATTCATTCTGATTTGCTCTGAACAAAGCTTACACAGAGGTCAGGTGATGTCTGGTCTTTGCTGAGCATTCATTCTGATTTGTTTCTGGGGAGGTTACATAACAATGAACATCCATCCAGATTTACTTGCATGGTGTGTATACTCATCTATCACTTGCTCTCCCCACACTTTTCAGTGCATTTTCCCATCACTTTTCTAACCACAAAGAGTTTGTTTGTTTGTTTGCTTTAATAATAATAATAATTTATTGTTTGTACCCCGCTTATCGGACTGTGCTGCCCCGGCCACTCTGGGCAGCTTCCAACATATATAAAAACATAATAAAACATGAAACCTTAAAAAGCTTCCCTATACAGGGCTGCCTTCAGATGTCTTCTAAAGGTTATATAGTTATTCATCTCCTTGACATCTGATGGGAGGGCATTCCACAGGGTGGGTGCCACTACCAAGAAGGCCTTCTGCCTGGTTCCCTGTAGTTTCACCTCTGTGAGGGAACTGCCAGAAGTGCTGCATCCCAGTGCCTGGGCTTAACGATGGGGGTGGAAACGCTCCTTCAGGTATACAAGGCCATTTAGGGCTTTAAAGGTCAGGACCAACACTTTGAATTGTGCTCATAAATGTACTGGGAACCAGTGTAGGTCTTTCAGTGTGATATGGTCCCAGTGGCTGCTCCCAGTTACTAGTCTAGCTGCTGCATTCTGGATTAGTTGTAGTTTCAAAGATAGCTCCACGTAGACCACATTGCAGTAGTCCAAGTGGGAGATAACCAGGGCATGTACCACTCTGGTGAGACAGTGCACAGGCAGGTAGGGTCTCATCCTGCATACCAGATGGAGCTGCCCTGGACACAGAATTAACCTGCGCGTCCATGGACAGCTGAGTCCAGAATGACTCCCAGGCTGCGCACCTGGTCCTTTAGGGGCACAGTTACTCCATTCAGGACCAGGGAGTCCCCCACACCTGCCCACCCTCTGTCTTGTTGGGATTCATCTTCAATCTGTTAGCTGCCATCCATCACTTTTAAAAAGCGAATTTGTTGTGCTTTAATCCACTTTAATAGTGCAATCCTAAATTTCCAGTATGCATTTCTATGCCTGCTGTAAAATACCGACAGCCTAGTTTTCTTCCCCTGGCATAGATTTAAGCTTCCAGTACACACACCTGTTAAGCACTTGCACCTGCTGCTCACATAGTCTTGACTGACCTGCTCCTTTGCCAGCACTCAGTTGGGGTGGATTGTCTAGCTCTGACTTCTAGCACTCAAGATGCAACCAAAAGGGCACACGGTATTTCAAATCCTTTCTGCTATGTGGCCTCACCTTCCACCTTGATCTCCACCTGGCTGTGCTGCTGCCCATGCTTGTTGCTGGCTGTGCACTCATACACACCACTGTTCTGTCCATCTGCGCTGGCAACAGTCACTGTGCTGTTATTGCCACCATAGTTGAGGTTGGAGGCCTGAGGCACCTTCCAGGAGTAGCTGGCAGCTGGAGACCCATCCGCCTGGCAGGTGATGGTAAAGTTTTCTCCCCTTCTGATGGGTAAGGTACCACTGACTGCCAGAATGGAGATAACAGGCCTGTCTGGAAACAGAAGAGAAGGAGGCTTCAGATCAGCCAGCAAACCCAAGAAGAGGCTACCTTTCTTTGCTCTTCATCACTGTGATATTTGGGTGCTGCTAGCAAGCTCAGTTGAAGAGTTACCAGGTGTAACTCAATTGATCACCCTAACTTTTCCATCTGAAGCACTTTCCCAGCCTGGAGAGGTATCAGTGGAAAACTCAGAGGGAGGGGAAATGAATAACTTGTGGTTTAGTCCACCTGGAATGCAATGTTGCATTGCAGTGTGGTGTTCCAGCAGCAATGCCTTCTGAAAATTTTGGAGAAATACCACCCACCAAAGAAAGCAACAGAAAATTGGACACTTGGAAAATTGAATACAGTCATACCTTGGGTTGAATATGCTTCATGTTGAGCGCGTTCGAGTTGCGCTTCACACCAACCCAGAAGTAACGGAGCGTGTTACTTCCGGGTTTTGCCGCTCGTGCATGCACAGACGCTCAAAATGACGTCACGTATATGTGCAGAAGTGGTGAAAAGCAATGTGCGCGTGCGCAGACGTGCCGTCGCTAGTTATGTTTGCTTCTGGATGCGAACGGGGCTCCGGAATGAATCCTGTTCACATCCTGAGGTACCACTGTAATATTTTTGGGAAACTGGGCCAGGACTTTGGTCCAGCCTTGATTTAGACTGATGACTCACCTTTCAATTTTTGCTTCTCTCAGTTTCTACTTTTTCCAGTCTTATCTTAAGCTGAGCTCCACATTTCTGCATCAATTTGCATTTTTTAAGTCCTCATGAAAATTCTTCAGCAATTTAGTGCAATTTTATCCTCGTACACATGACTGTATGCTACTTGGCTTCATATGCACATATTCTGCACATATGCAGTGTTCTCTAATAAATGCATTCATATGTTATCTTCATTAATATATGCATTTTTATGCATAGTTTCCACATCTTTGTATAATTGGAGAATTGATTGGAGAACTGCATCACAAAATTTGGATACATGTGTCTTTTGTAGGATAGCTGTGTTTCACTTTGTGTACTGTTGCAGAAAGTGTGAATTAGGTATGTTCACATTAAAAAAAATTTAGTGAAACAAATTCCTTCACCTACTCACATTCCACTTGCACATTCACCAACCATCTCTCAGTTCCATGGCCATTGGTGGCCTTGCATTGGTAGATGCCAGAGTCATTCCTGCTGACATTCCGTTCTCTGTAGAACTCCTCAATGCCTCCCTCCTTGGCACAAATGACCAGTGGGGTGGGAGTCCCATTGGCTTCACAGGCCAGCGAATGCAAAGTCCCCTCAAGCCAGGTCTGGTTGCTTGGGCAGCTGGACTCATCCATTTTAGGTTTGGCTGAAACACATTGATATAACAAGAAAATCCTCTTGACATAAGCAGGGTGAGCCTCTGTATGTACACAGCTGCCACCAAACTATGTCACAGAAGGCTACATTATCCACCAAACTATGCCTAAATTAATGCTCTGCAATGAGGCGGCTTGGTTTCAAAACAGATTTTGCATTGTTGCCATTTCAGTTGGCTATTTTGTAATCTTTCAGTTTAGGCTTCCAAAAATTTTGTGATAAATTATTAGCTAATATTAGCTCATCCTTGACATTTCAGATGGTGCCCTCCAGATATCATGGATTACAGATCCCATCAGCCCCTGAAACCACGGCCAATCTTGAAGGAAGATGGGAGTTGTAGTTAAAAACTGGAGGGCACCACATTGGCTACCATGTTGGTATTTAGTTGTTTAGTCATGTCCGACTCTTTGTGACCCCCTGGACCAGAGCACGCCAATGGCTACAAGGACAAGTTTTTTCTGGTAAGGATTTCTGCACCAGACATTTTGGATGCCACTCTTGGACGCTTGGCTTAGGGTCAAAGCTAAAGTGTATCGCTTAGGAACAGAGAGATTTGGATGCAGAAGGTTGAAATATACTGTATAATACATATGCAAGCAAACAAATTCCCCTCAAAGCGGCTCAAAACCTGGGAAACCTCCCAGACTACAGTAGTCTTCTTCTTCCTCCTCACCTGGCAAAAAGGGAAGATCAACCCACCTGAAGTAGGTGGCAGGAGGGAAGTATAGACTCCTAGTGGAACAGGATGCCACCCAGCTTAACCAAGGACTAGGGCCAGTTCTCATGCCAGGTGAGGGTGAGGGGGTGACTGGCTTGATGTGTTGCTTCTCCAGAGACCACAACCAACACTCACTTTCCACTGTAACCGCAACTGCCTTAGCCACTGTCCCAAGCCGGTTTGTGGCATTGCACCAGAAGGTTCCATTGTAGAGTGGGATCCCTTGTCCTTGGCTAAGGTAGTATGTCATGCCATCTTTGGTGCATGTAACCTCTGGAGGCGGAATCCCCTCAGCTTTACAGGTAAAGGAGGGCAGCACCCCCTCCACCAAGATCCAGTTACTTGGACAGCTAGATTCATCCATTTCTGGTTTATCTGAAATGTTAAGAGAGACAGTGACATTTTGCAATAATTCCTAGACAGATTTTTGTGGCAGCTGTGGAAGCAGTTCTTTCTGGAGTTAGTGAACTTGAAAAACCACCAGGTGGGGCACAAGCTATAAACATGTTGCATAAGAAACACCCACCCATTAAGGAGGCAAATTCAGAACAGATGGTGAAGCCAAGCTGCTGGAGGTGTGGTCAGGGGAGATTTCCCAAGAGCCACATAGAGTGGGCTGCCTGAGGATCTCCCCTCCATGCCATGCCTCTTGTAATGGAGCTGAAACCAAAACAGGCCTCTGCCTTGCCAGTGTGCCTCAACCCTTTGCCCCAGGAGGCCACAAACTCCCTGCCTATTGCTACTCCACAGTTTTAGGCTTGATCTTTAAAGAGGAACAATGGTAGGAACTAATCATAAGCCAGCTGAAAAAAGAGTTAGGGCTGTTCTGATGAACAGGCTTCAATTTCAATATTCACTTTAAAGAAATTATATTCAAAGCAATGAAATAAATTACACACCCACTCACGCCCAAATTCTCCCATTTTCTAAGCATTTGTGTTTTTTCCTACTGCTAGTCAGCCTTTGGTGGCTTTTGCTGCTTCTTGTTGGCATTTTCCTTCCTCTGTCTTCTTTCGCAGCCCTCAGCTTCATTTTGCCACACTGTCATTTAGTAGAACTTTGTTCCAAAGAGCCCACAATCTCCTCGTGCCAGGTATGCCATTAACAACAGGACTAAGCCACTCTGTGGGTCAGTGAGGACTGTGAGGGCAAAAAGAAGCCAAATGGAGGAAGGACAAAGGGCATTAAAACAGCAGTCAGAAGCTGCTTGCGCCAAGAGCCAGAAATCAGCTAAAACAAGAAGCACTCATGAAAAAAACAACACAGAACGATGCAACTTTGTTTGGCTTGGTCCTGAAAGCAGCCACTCAAAAACCTACCAGCATGCCCCCCCCCCATTTGACAGAAGGTCAGGGCTCACTTACACTCCACTTGAATGCTCACAGCTCTGGTGCGGGAGCCATGCACATTTGTGGCTGTGCAGAGGTAGGTGCCGGCATAGTCTCTGGTGACACTCTGGAGATGCCCAGGGCTGTACGTCACACCATCCTTAATGCACTCAATGGTTGGCTCTGGGTCTCCCCCAGCAGAGCAGGTGAACATTTGCTCTGTCCCTGATGTCCAGATCCAGCTATGGGGGCAACTCAAATCATTCATCTCAGGCCCATCTAGAAGACAGGGAGAAAAATAGAATCTGATTTTACAGTGGTAATTATGGTAGGATAACACAACCCTGCTAGTGGCTCACAGTTGCGGCAGCCAGAGGAACTGCTTGACAATTCCCGCTGAAGACATATGGGCCTCAACAGAGCAAAAAATGTACCCTCCTATACTTCTCCTATATATTTCTGGTGGGAACTTGATCACCTTTTGCCACTATAAAGCTAGACAAATTTTATGGTCTGTTGTCTACTCTTACATTCTGTTAAAACCTGTGGGATTAAAGTATGGATCATCTGCACATGCCTAGTTGCTGCTTCTGCTTGGATTCTTCAGCATCAGCTGCACGCATCATGCATGCAAGGTGCAAGTTGCACTTACACTCAACTCTGCTTGTGACCATCTTGCTGCTTGATCCATGTGCATTGGTAGCGTTGCATTGATAAACACCAGCATGGCTTTGTGTGATGTTCTGCAATTTGTTGGAATTGTACACTTTACCATCTTTCATGCAGGAAACATCTGGAACTGGGACCCCATGAGCTTGGCAAATGAAATCCAGTTGGCTGCCTTCAACCCAAGTTTGGTTACTTGGGCAGTCAGACTCACTCAGCTGAGGCCCGTCTGCAACAGAGAGAAGATGGACAGTACATCTACTGAAAGCTGGGCAGGAATAACTTGTCTTACACCAAAAAGCAGCCCAAATGACCCCATGGTCTTATAATTAAGGATGTGGCCTCAGGTGACAGCCAAGGCCAGGGAGGAGGATGAGTTGATCAAGTCTGTGTCTACCACACTGCCAGCTGAAGAACCTGAGCCTGGCAGCTTTGGACCTGCAGATCCTGGACCAGGACTTTAAGAGACCAGGGCCAGGGGCCAAATGCAGCCCTGCAGGCCTCTCCACCCAGCTCTCTTTCTCTTCTCCCCAGGCCAACTTCCTGGAGTGTTTAGCCTGGCCAAAATGTATACTCCCCCCCCCAACCCAGAGTATACTTGAGCCCTGCTCATGCTTCTTTCTTGCTTGGGTGGAGGACTGAGAGGGGCATGAGAATGTGCGTGGAAACCAGCATACTAGACAAAGGTAAAAATGCTGTTTACCATTCAGTACACTTTTGCTTCTGGTCTCATCCAGCACTGGCTTGCCTAGAATGGGATGTAACCCTAGGGCTGAAAAGCCCCCCCCCCCAGTAGTAGATGGTCCGTCCGTCCGTCCGAAGTCTGAGCAGCCAACTACCTCCCACTCCATAGCCCAGTGGTCAAAGGAACAAGCAAGGCAAGAAGCAGAGAATCACTCACTGGCAGGCAGGAGGGGCTGGAGCCAAGGAAGCAGGGTGTGCACAAGGCTTCTGCCAAGCTTGAGCTTTTGTTTGAGCAGGTTGCTCACTGAGGTCTCTCCAAGGTGCTGCCACACTGTGAACTCCTGCTTGAGATCAAGACCCAGTAGGCTGTTCCACCTGACATACGTGATGCTTAATTCAGAGCCATTGTCCCAGGGTGGCTAGCTTGGACCCCATTCTTGCTTGCCTCACATAGATCATAACACAGAAATTTCACTTACATTCCACGTAGATGGTGACTGTTCTGGTGATGGAGCCGAGCTCATTAGTGGCAGTGCAGTTATAGACGCCGGTTTGGGTCCGGTTAACCCGTTCCTCTTTTTCCATGTTGTGAGCCACACCTTCTTTGGAGCAAGCCACAGTTGGCTTGGGGTTCCCCTCAGCCAGGCAGTGGAGGGTTTGGTGTGTCCCCTCTACCCACGTATGGTTGCTGGGACAAGTGGACTCATCCATTTCCGGCACATCTGCAATGTGCAGAGGGAACACACACATTGGTTGATGCTCTTCTCTCTTTGGGTAAGAAATAAAGGGGGAGGGGAGGTTTAATGTTGGAGAATGTTGGTCTGGAACATTTGGGTGGTGTTGGGCAGATGGTTACTTAAGCCTCATTGGTACAGGCAAGTGTATGTGAGAATGTGTTAAGAAAAGCTGGGCCTTGCATGAGGCAGATCAGGTGACTGCCTTAGGCAGCTGGTTGTCATAAAAGGGGGAGCAACCCAAGGTAGTTGCCCCACTCTGCCTTGTGGCTGAGCCGGCCTTGCCTGTTATGATTTTGGCTTCAGATATCAAAAAATCCTGGGCTGACTCTGGTTTCAGAATTTTATTGTCACAAGCCGCCTCACAAGTGGACTCTTTGTTATTGCATTTGCAATTGTTCAAGATAAAACCTATTTTGGAAAGAAACTACTTTTGCCATTTTATGGGTCTTTATTGTTTGTTTACAGATAGTTGCCAAAAGATGAAAGAACTTGATATCAATATCAAACAGTAGTCAGAGCAGATTAATGATTTAAAAAGTCAAAATTCTTAAGAGATCAACACAATTACAACAACAAGCAGGTGTACTGGTGGTTTAATAAGGGAACTACAAATTTCAAGAAAATCACTCGGTATGATGCTACAACTTTGAATTCTGCTTAGGACACATCAGAGCCACTCTTATGTCAGGAGATGAGGGACTTGGGGTTCAACATAATGCTGGTGGAGGCAACGCATCCTTGAGAGCTATGTGTAGACCTAATACCAGACCTAATACCAGAGCTTTTAAGAAGGAAGCAACTACACCTCAGAGTTCAAATTTTCACTCCCGCTCATTGAGGATGTACCACAGGTAGCAGTAATTAATTTGTCCTCTAGTCTAGGCCACTTACGGCTATAGAAACTGAAGTATTGAATCTGGGCTTATGCTTTGCCCCCCTCCACAATATAACTCTTTTCAGACGCAGGTTGGTCTGTATAAACTTATACGTGTAATAAAACTTAAAGCATATTTTGGCGATGAGTCATTTTTGACCCAAGTCACATTTTATACTATCTTTACTGGATCCCACCATTCAGACTTTCCATAACACAGTTTTGCGGGAGATTTCTTGAATAGAGGACCAATCAGTTAGAATTTTCAATAATATGTCAAGGGCACAAAGAACAGCTTTAAGGGATCTATCACAGGATGAGTCAATAGTTATCAAACTGGTCAATAAAGGGGGAACTGTTGTGGTTTTAAATACAACAGACTACAATTTTTAAATACAATGACAACTTTCTGATTCCACATATTACACCCCCGCAGTGGTGTAGCGTGGGGGGTGCAGGGGGGGCCGGGCGCACCGGGCGCAACATCTGGGGGTTAGGGTTAGGAGGCGCAAATCCACGGGTTAGGGGGCGCAAATTACTTGCCTTGCCCCGGGTGCTGACAACCCACGCTACACCACTGCACCCCCGTTACATGTGATCCTACTGGAGGAGCGGCTTAGGGAGCGCAAAGACAAGCAGCCAGGCTCTTCCCACTCTGAGCCAGAGAGGAGAGGAGTGATTTTTGCACCCACCTAGGCCTGCACACCTGGCCAACCAACAGATTCCAAGATCCAAAATGAAGACCTTGCTTCCAATACCATCCAAGTCAACTCCCTTTCTCTGCTTCTGTGACAGAAGCCAGGACTGATGCCATACCCCCCCATCACCAGCCCCAGTCCCAGGAGTCCTTGACACAGCCACTGTGACATATAATCACGTTTTATTGGCTCTTCCTGACAGGCGGGAAACTGCAAATGAGTTAAGTCTGTTTCCTTTTCTCCTTCTGGCTGTTAAATTCTGTGAACACTGTCTTATTATCACTGCATGTGAAGCGGCAGTGGCAGTGGGAGTGCGATAGGCCTCGCTGGATTTCTGTTTTTGCAGCAGTCTGCAAGTCTCAGAGTGTCCTGGCACCTGCTGAAAGAGCAGTTAGGCTGGCATCCATGCAGCTTGCAGTTGTGGCAAGGGGGCAAGAGGAAGAACTTGTTCAGTTTCTGTGAATTGGTTCTCATGGGAAACTTGCAGATTCTGGCTTCTCACAATTAACTCAGGGCAGTGTCAATTTACTCTTGGCAGAAAGCCCAGGTCTGCTTGACCTAGAAACTACTTACTCTGATTGGTTAACGACCAGCACTCAACTCTGTTATCTAGGATTGCTAGCACAGTTTGGTGTGAGGTGTTGTTAGGAGTAGAAGTGCTGTGTATGGTTTTGAGAGAGAGAAAGAGAGGATTTATTTTGCTTTTATTTGTATGCAGAAACTCTGCTGGTTTTATTTTTCCTTTTAATAAATCCTGTAAATAGTTATTCTGAGTCTAGCTGACTAGTCATTACCACCGCAACTAGCTTCTTCGCTGTGCAGGAAAACTCTGCTACGTTTGGGCTAAAGCCAATAGGGCTATGCCTGACACTTCAAAGTTCCACTGTGCTGCCAGCCTGAGTTGCGGTGGTGTCAGCATCAACGGCATTGGTTCCAGTAGTTCCAGAAGTTGTTGTTCCTGCTGGTGCAGCAGATGGACTCTGGCTGGTTCCTGACTGTAGTGAGCTGGTGACGCAGTGGACACAAGGACAACAGCTGCAGCGTGTGAGTGCTGGGTGCTGTGGTTCCTGTTTTCTCTCTCGGTGGTCGTGAGTAGCTGGTTCCGGGTTCCAGGGACATCGCTCTCAAGATGGCCTCACAACCAGTTCAGATGGCTTTTGAGCGTCTGAATGACTCCAATTACTTGCTGTGGTCGGAACGCATGCAGGCAGTGCTGCAGAGGGATCGTCTCTGGCAAGTGGTGAGTAAGTTTCCTGCGAAGCCTGATGATGAAGACCTCGATAAAGACCAAAGAGCAAGGGCCACAATTGTCTTGGGGCTGGAAGATTCCCAGTTGCCGTATGTGAGGGGAATCAAGACAGCTAGAGGTGTGTGGCAAGCACTTAAAGAACTCCATGTGCGTGAGACAGCGGTTTCCAAGCTGTTCATTCGCAAGGCATTGTACAAGGCAATGTTACAGCCTGGGGTTACAATGCAGGAACACCTACACAGTTTACAGTTAAAGTTTACTGCGCTACAGGAAGGAGACTGTGCGTTAGTCCAGCAGGAGAAGGTGGCTATTATTTTGAGTTCTCTCCCGGAAAGCTGGGATAATTTAGTTTTGTCTCTAGAAGGCATACAGGAGCGTGATTTATCAGTCAGTTACGTTACTGGGCGTTTGATTGAAGAATGGCAGAAGAGGCAAGAAAGGTCGTTGGCTGCAGAGGTTTCTACAGGTGGGCGGTTTGGAAGGAGTTCTCATGCCGTGCCAGAGGTGAAGCAAAAGCAGCGTACCGGTGAGGAGTCAGCGTTTGCTGTTAGGCGTTGTTTCCGATGTGGGTCTTCAGCGCATCTAAAACGACAATGTCCGGAGTTGGTCAAGTCTCAGTTGCCGGTGCAAGAGCAGAGACGAGATCAGCAGCAGCAGCAGCGTAAAAAGAAATTCTTCAAACGAAAACAGTCGGCTCAGCTGGTGACCGGCGAGGTCAAGATTGCTGATGAGAAACAAGCGGTCTGGGTGGTCGATTCGGGAGCATCTCGCCACATCGTGAATTCAGATGAATTGTTTGTTTCCAAGAACTCAGCACAGCGCAGCCAGGTGGCTCTAGCAGACGGAAGTACTTCCGAAGTGATTTCGGGGGGTGCAGTTTTTGTTCCTTGTCTTCGTGAATGCCTGCAAACTGTACTTTGTGTGCCGTCATTAAGGAGCAATCTGATGTCTGTAGATTGTTTGCTAAAAGCTGGGTTTAAAGTGTATTTTGAAGGAGACAGTTGCATTATTAAGAAGGCTGGTGAGATTTTAGGCACTGCTAAGTCAGAGGGAGGCTTGTTTTGGCTTAAAGCAGGATCTCAAGTTGCAGCAGTAGTCAGTAAATCTCAGCCTGCAGTGAATAACAAAGCTATACATGACAACTGTGTGCACTTATTGCATAGGAAAATGGGGAATGCTGGCTGGAAAAGTGTACTAAAAATGTCTGAATTGGCTGATGGGGGTAATTTAAAGAGTTGTAACAAGTACCTTGATTGTAATGTTTGTAAAAAGGTTAAAACCCACAGAGTCTCTTACCCCAGAAGTGACAGAGTTAGTGAGTCACCGCTACAGCTGGTTCACATGGACGTAATTGGTCCATTTGCTGTAAGCAGGGGTGGATCACGCTTTTCATTAACAATTGTGGATGACGCCACACGTTATTCTTGGGTTTTTCCCATGAAAAATAAGGGTGACGTGTTCACTAAGTTTAAAGGCTGGATGGCATCTGTGGAAAGATTTCTGTCCATTAAACTCAAAAGGATTCAGACGGACAGAGGTGGCGAATTTATGTCAAATGCCTTTAAAGATTGGTTACAAAAGCGTGGCATTGGGCATAGAAAAACGAACGTTTTTTCCCCAGAGGAGAATGGCGTTGCAGAGCGAAAAAACAGATCTTTACAAGATATGATGTTTGCCATGCTTGATGATGCTGATTTGCCCATGTCTTATTGGGGGGAGAGCATGCTCACCGTGTGTTATCTCCAAAACAGGCTCTTTCATCAAACAATAGGTACAACTCCGTACTTTAAATTGTTTCAGAAAAAACCCAAAATTGACCATTTGCATGTGTTTGGATCAAAAGCCTGGGTATTAATTCCGAAACAAATGAGGAAGAAGGGAGATCCTAAGACCAAACAGTTAGTGTTTGTGGGTTACCAGGAGCTGGGAAAAGGTTTCCGCTTTGCTGAAGGGACAAATGGCATTGTGATCTCCAGGAATGCCAGTTTTTGTGAACATAGTGGCTGGGAGAGACTACATGCCAATACTGAGGTTTGGTTTGAACCTTCCCAGGAGCTTCATGACTCTGAAGATAGACACAGAGAATCAGAGTCTGAGGGGGAGGAAAGTTCAGATAAGAGCTCTCAAGAAAGTGGTGTTAGCCAAAGACCAGTTGCTAAGCAACAAAAGAGAGGTCGTAGTTCTGAGGAGGAAAGTGGGTCAGAAGAAAAAATTTCTCCCAGAAGATCTAAAAGACAAAACAAAGGAGTGCCTCCGGTGCGTTTTTCCCCAGATACTGCAAATGTGTTTAGTGTAATTGCAGAACCCAAGAGTTTTCAGGAGGTGTTAAAGTTACCAAAAGAGGAGGCAGAGCGCTGGAAACAGGCAATGGAGGAAGAGATGTCCTCTCTGAATGAGCACAAGGTTTTTACACCAGTAGCAGCGCCTGAGGGGGCAAAGATTGTAGGCTGCAGGTGGGTGTACAAACTTAAACCTCTGGTGACAGGAGAGTACAAATACAAAGCTTGTTTAGTGGCTCAAGGATACTCTCAGAGGCCTGGAAAAGATTATGACGAGACTTTTTCCCCTACTGCTAAGGGGGACAGTGTAAGGCTGATTTTAACGCTTGGAGCAAAGAGAAAACTCCTGTTAAACCATTTTGACATTCAGACTGCATATTTACATGCATCAATATCAAAAGACCTGTATCTAGCCGAACCGCCTGGTTATGAGACAGGTTCCAATAGAGTGTTGAAATTAAACAAAGCTCTATATGGTCTCAAACAGGCTGCAAGATCTTGGAACAAATGTTTCCATGAGGCCTTAGTGTCATTTGGTTTCAAGCAGAGTACAGCTGACAATTGTGTTTATGTACGTGGTACAGGCAGTGATCAAGAGTTTTGTCTGATTTATGTAGATGATGTTTTGTATGCTTGCAAAACAGATAAACAAACTAAAAGGTTTGCCAAGCAATTGTCCAGTAAGTTCAAAGTGAAAGACTTAGGCCCGGTTAGGACATATCTAGGGTTGGAAGTGTGCTGGGCCCAAGATGGCAGCTGCCTAATTAGTCAGCAGAACAAAGTTAAACAACTACTGACTACATACAGGATGCAGGATTGCAAAGGGGCAGTGGTGCCTATGGATCCAGGTTTCATAAAAACACTTCATATAGATGAGGGTCCTGAATTTGAACATCCTGATGTATATCACTCTGTAATTGGAAGTTTATTGTATCTAGCACAGTGGTCCAGACCTGATATTAGCTATGCAGTAGGCATATTAAGTAGATTGGTCTCAAAACCCACACTAAATGCCTGGAAAGGGGTAAAACGAGTTCTGAGGTATCTCAAACAGACAATTGGCTATATGTTACAATTAAATTCTTCAGAGGATGAAATGTTGAGTTGCTACTGTGATAGTGACTGGGGAAATTTGCCAGATAGAAAATCTGTCACAGGACTAGTCATAATGGTCGGTGGAGCTTTAATCAGCTGGCGGTCACGCAAGCAAGACGTTGTAAGTGTGTCATCAACGGAATCAGAGTACGCCACATTGAGTGAATTGTGCAACGAGGTGATTTATTTCAAGCATTTGTTAGCAGATTTAAATGTAAATTGTGGAGAACCAGTACAAGTTTACATTGATAATCAAGCTTGTATAACCTTAAGTAAAACAGAGGGTTTCAAATCGCGTTCCAAACATATCTCTGTAAAATACCAAAATGTACGTTGCTGTGTACAAGACAATGTAATCACCTGTACTTATGTATCAAGTGAAGAAAATGTAGCAGATGTATTAACTAAACCACTGGCAAAGATAAAGAACAAGCGAATGTGCAAGGGTTTAGGTTTGCTGGAAAAATGATCTCCTACATAGGTGTATTTGGTGTTAATTGTCCAGCAGAATCTGTGAGGGGGTGTTCAGTTTCTGTTAATTGGTTCTCGTGGGAAACTTGCAGATTCTGGCTTCTCACAATTAACTCAGGGCAGTGTCAATTTACTCTTGGCAGAAAGCCCAGGTCTGCTTGACCTAGAAACTACTTACTCTGATTGGTTAACGACCAGCACTCAACTCTGTTATCTAGGATTGCTAGCACAGTTTGGTGTGAGGTGTTGTTAGGAGTAGAAGTGCTGTGTATGGTTTTGAGAGAGAGAAAGAGAGGATTTATTTTGCTTTTATTTGTATGCAGAAACTCTGCTGGTTTTATTTTTCCTTTTAATAAATCCTGTAAATAGTTATTCTGAGTCTAGCTGACTAGTCATTACCACCGCAACTAGCTTCTTCGCTGTGCAGGAAAACTCTGCTACGTTTGGGCTAAAGCCAATAGGGCTATGCCTGACACTTCAAAGTTCCATGAGAACTGTATCACTGGGGAAAGGTATGACCCCGGCTGCATACCAGGGGTGCCATCTTGCGGGGGACTGAGGGCCCCCCAAATTTTCAAGGAGGGGACAGCCCCTCAAAATTCTGTGGTGGCTGTGCACACCTCATGCATGCACACCATGCAGCATGTGCGACTGACGTCAGCGTGTTGCACGGTGTGCGCACATGGCACGAGCACATTGCACAGGGTGCTGACATTAGTTGCACATGCCATGCAGTGCTGGCACCCTCAATTGCAGGGATAAGCCAGCATGCTTGCTGGATGCACACTGTACATTTAACGCACATTACACACCATAATTATAAAGCACATTTTCCACCCCCCAAAGACCTATGTTTAAGTGCCCACTTAAGTGCACCACATACATTGCCTCAGCAAACTGTGGCTGTGTACACCCCATTCATTTAAAGCATATCTCCCTCCTCCTAAAGGAACTGGAGTTGATGAAGAATGCTGGGAATTATAGCTCTGTGAGGGTTAAACTGTGGTTCCGGGATTCTTTGTGGGTGGGTGTGTACACCGTCCCAATCTGTTTCTGAGGTCTGGCTGCATAAGCCGTTCAAGTGGCAGCAGTGAAGCAGAAGACAATAGGAACGGGCTGTCATAAGACCACCTGTGGTACCACAGAAGATGCTGTGGGATTCACCTTTCAAGTGACACAGGGCAGGTGCCAGAGGTGGCAAAATGCCTCAGGCTAGGCAAGTTTGGGAAGGAGTACAAAGGCCTGGTTCTTCTGGTTGTGGAGGTAGAAAGCTGTACAAGCCCTGCTTTCCTCCATATTCAGCAAATATGGAGAAAGGTGCAACCAAGTTTTTCTCTAGCTCACCAGGTGGATCTCTACCCCTACGTCTCCCACCTCATAGACCCCTTATGCCTCCTGTTCAAGTTTTCTGGAGATGTGGGGCAGGCATTCACACATGTGACCTCTGACCTTGCACTTTGAAAACAGAGCATTGCTGCTTGAAAGACACAGCTGTATGGATCTGCTGCTGCATCTCATATACAGTGTATATATATTATGTTTTTACCGTAAAAAGAGCAAAACCAAACATTATTGGAAGGGAAGTTCTATACTCACAGAAGACAGTAAGATTGGCAGACGTCTGCTTAAGGATGGTCTCACCACCAATCCCCCATTCTGCTTCACACATGAATTCCCTCTCATTATCTTCCTTCTCAGCTATAAGGGTGGACTGCAGAGAGAGCTGGTTGCCAGACACCAGGGTCCTTCCAGAAGCAATTTTGATTTGAAGAGAAATGCCGGGTGGCTGAGTATCAGAAGAATTGCATATAATGGTCACAGAATCATTCACAAGAGTCTGAGATGGAAGGATCTTCAAGGAAGGCTCAGGGAAACCTGCAGTTACCATGAAGAAGATTGTTATTTGTATAAGTACTCAAAAATGCTCCCTCTGGTTTCCAGCTAGATGCTGGTGAGCGGGAGTGTTTGTTTTGAGCTCTCTGGCTGTCTAGTGCCAACTGGAAGCTACCGGTACGTCAAAATGTCAAATGCCAGCAATTATCTGAGAAGTCTGTGGCCATAAAGCTGCTCTAAAATGAAGATGCCCTTAGGGGGAAACTAGACGGGGTGGTTAAATGTGTGGTGTCCACCAAAACCAGCTTTCACATGCCTTCACCTCCTCCAATTTACAATGCCATGAACCTTCCACGTTTCCCAGCTTCATTTCATATCATTGGCTGCCAAACAAAAAACAAGGTCCATTTTTCTAATTCAGGAGCAAGGAAGCCTTTTTATCCCATGGGGCATATTTCCTTATGCTCCTGGGCCCACATCATGCCAGCAGTGGACGAAGCCACAGGCAAAAGTGGGCGGACCAATGCATGGAACAATGCAAGAGGCTGCATTTCCAGCCACACAGAAGTCCATCTTTCCATCCTCCTGTGAGGCAAGCAAAAGACATCATCACAGTGCAAGTTCCATGTAAAGGTTGTTGGGGGTTGCTTGTGCCTAAAGGGTGCTACTGTTCTAGGCAACGTAGCCTGGCTAAACCTTTCCCTGGCTGGACAGCCCTTTCTCCATGGCTGTGTCAGTCGCTGGCAGAATCCGTCAGTGGGCGTTTCCTGAACTTCTTCCAACATAGAAACTCTTTGACGCCAAGTCTCCTCCTCGCCTCCCTGCGTGGAAGTCTCCTGCGCAGAGTGGGCGTGCCCAATGGAGGTCCTGTGCTCTCCCCGCTGGTCTCTGTGGAAGAGTCTTGGAGCCCTCTCTCCGCAGTTCCCCCTTGCTTCCTGGTGTCACTCCTATTTCCTTCCTCAAAGGAAGTGTTCTCTCTCCCCCTGCTGGTCCCTTCTCCTGCATCGTTGGGGAGCCTTACCTCCACTCTAGGCTCCGATGGCAGTTCCCTGACATTCCAGCAAGACCAAAAGGCATGAGGAGGGTTCGATGTAGAGGTGCTAAAGGGTGTGGCCTGGGGGGGGGCGTCTGAAAGCCAGGCAGAGAGGCCTGGACAGCTCCTTTTGGGAACACAGCCAACCACATATTTACCATGACGCCTGGTTTGTTTAGACCTCAAGGGTCCAGATCCAGAAAGGCTTTTTTGCTGCCTCCTCTAAATGAGAAATGAATAACTAGGAAAACTTGAATGGTAATGGGAACCGTGGGAACTGCAAAATCACCTGCCAGTTGAAAATAAGTAAGCATGAAGAATAGGTCTGTCTGGGATAGAATGTGCTCTGGTGCAACACATCATGCATAACTATGTGCATCTAGAATTGGAGCAGCTTGTGGATGCTTTAAAATTAAGAAAATAATGCAGTCATTCATGGTTTGCTCTTACTGCTGCTTTAGCTCTTCTTCCCAAATGATATTTTTGTAAGAATCTGGTGTGTTTTTAATTACATGGCATATTTATTTCTTAAAACTGCCTTGAGCTCTTTAGAAAAGTGAAAAATAAACCCAGCAAATAAATGATGTTTACCAATTTACCATGTCTTCTGTGTGTTTGTGAACTGCTAACCACTTGTGATAGGAATTTTGAGGTCTTAGATATATGGTAATGTTCATAACTGCACATACATAGATCAGCACAGGAAGACCAACTTGGAACCATTTTGATTCCTAAACTGAGCAAATGTTTTCTCTGCAAGGTCAAACTGGAAAAAGCCTCCCCATTGTCTCTTTCCTCAAAAATCCTGTCTTAAGGACACATTTAAGATCTGAATAGGGTGTGAGCCTGTGACCTGGCCCAGGAACTAAGTATTTATCATTACAAAAGACTGGCCAGGCTACCCAGGAAATCCATTCAAGTAACCTGCCAGACAGGAGATAAACAAAAACAGGAGAAAAACAATATTAAAATTTCTATTTTGGACCGCCTTTTCTGTGATGTAGGTGTGATGTATCTGAGGGGTGGTCTTAGGTTACACCCCTTCTGGTATGTATGATGTTTCTGGGGGTGGTCTTGATCTACAGGGTGGCAATTTCAATAGTCTTTATAAGGCCTTGCACACCATTTTTCTGGGTCCTCCTCCTCTCCTGCGTGTGAGGGGAGCACCCTGTTGCAACAGATCAATAAAGATCAAGCTTACTAGCTGCTTTGCTTCTCAATATTCTCTGGTTGGCCTCTGTTATTTTCTCCTACCAATAGGGAATCTATGTAAGGACTCTATATGGGCTCTTGGATATCCCATAAGGGAAAAGGGCAATTTTTATTTACAACACACTCAAGAAAAGCTGCCTGCATTTCCCCCTTTCATCACTGAACTCTCCTAATGCATTTGCAGTATGTTCCATTTGCTCAGGTGAGGTTGGGGGCAGCTTGTCTCAGGGTACCTGAACAAAGGCTGTGAGTCAAACATCCCTTGCAGCTTCATTAAAGCACCAAGCTCAGAGACCAAGAAAGAAAGAAAGATTGAGGGGAACAGGCAGTGTCTTTGTCACAGGGTTATTAATAGACTCCCACTAACAGGATTATAATAATTGCATATTTCCTGCATGCCCACCGGCAGTAGAATGCCTTTCCTGAAAACAGAACTGGAAATTGCTAGTTACTCAGGGGGGGGAAATACAAGCTATATTTTTTGTTCTGAGAATGAGGTCCTTGCTAAACTGGCTCACATCAAGAGCCTCTCAAATCCAGCATCCTGTAGCTACCGTATTTTTCGCTCTATAACACGCACCAGACCATAACACGCACGTAGTTTTTAGAGGAGGAAAACAAGAAAAAATATATTCTAAACGAAGTAGTGGATATATGATTTTTGTGGTTCATGCTGTGGCCACAGACATGTGATCTGACAATGAGTTTGGAGTAGCCCAATGCAAAAATCCTGAGGATCCATGTGGATCCATGCTTTGTAACCATGGAGGAAGGAAGGAAGGGGAACCATGGATCCTCTGCTCACGACTGCAGCAGATCCTCCCCGCCACCCGCAGGCATTCGCTCCATAACACGCACAGACATTTCCCCTTACTTTCTAGGAGAAAAAAGTGAGTGTTATGGTGCAAAAAATACGGTAATTGTATTTGCGCAGAGGAAGTGACTGAAAAGCTGTAGGACCCAAGGAAGGGAGCAGGCATTCTGAAGTGGTCCAGCTTCTTGTGGCCACTTTCAGCATCAGAAAATAGCTTTATGTAAACTGGTTGGACTGCATTAAGTGCCCTGAAGTTTCCTGAAATATTTATTTGCTAATATGATCAAAGAGGTTCATGAAAGGCTGGAAACTAGACAAAAATGGGGGAAAGAGCCTCTGGATGGTGGCTATTGATTCCTTCTGTTTCATTTCAAGGGACTGTTTCAGAAGTTGGGCACCTCCCCGACTCTCTGCTGAGCAGTAGCAAGACTCCAGGTGGGCTCCAGGTGCTCCCCCAGGGCTTGTGCTCCTTTGGAGAACTGAAGATGCGAAGGAGACTGTTGTAGCTTTAAGAAATATTATTCATCCACATATTTACACCTTCAGTCTGTGTGGAGGGAGTCCAGTTCTTACAGCATGGTCATCTTAAGGGGGGCTGCTACCCTCAGCAGAGCAGGACTGGAGTGCAAGGCATCTCTCCCAGCCTGCCTTCAGCTAGCCTGCCCAAGATGGATCTCCCCCTTTGTTCTCCCTTTCTTCTTCCCAGCACACCTTGCTCAAAAGACTATCTATTCCTCTGCCACCTCAAACACACACCCTGTCACCATGGCAACCTCTATCTGCCCAGGCCCAAGATTCCTCTCAGGTGGGCCATCAACACCTTTCGTCATGTTAATGCCTCTATCCCAGGTGAGACCCTAGCTTGGAAAGGAAGCTTAGCCTGTTTTTCCACTGGCCTCCAATCTTCCCTTCAATACGCTATCAAAATCCTACGATTATTAATTTCTAGGGTTTAAGGGGGGGCTCCCTCAAATCTATAACAGTACTAATAAGTGAAAGCAAAAGGAATCCGAACTGCATAACGAACAAGGGTGGTTCTGTGTTGGGACCAGCTGCTTGCCACCACTCAGCCAGCTGAAGACACGCTCTCCAGCCCAGCAAGGAGTGCAAGTCAGCAAGCTTACGTAGCAACCAGCCAGTTGCCCTGGTGACAGAGCTGGCGACAGAGGCATGGAGGGAAACCCCCATTGCACTGGCAACGTGTTTGCACCTTCCTCTGCCTGTTTCTCTCTCTTCCCTACTTTCTTTTCCCCAGTTCTGCTGCCTTGCATTGGACCTCACCGTGCATCTCCGACCTCTGATTTGGTCTTGCATCGTTTATTCACATGGCCTTTTAAGAGGGATAGAAACCAGGAAAGCTGGTTCCCATGTTATGCTAAGCCAATGCTCTGGTGTGTTTCCTCTCAGTGCAGCAAAGAGGGAGGAGGGCAGGCATAGTTTGAACACCCTGCACCAGCAGCACACTGGCTCATTCCCAGTAAGCTAGGTTTGGCGCTGGCTGACTGTTTATGTGCATACCAGGACAAAGGGAAGACAACAGTACTGAGGCAGATGGACCAATGACTGGACTCTGCCTAAGGCAACCTCTTATATTCTCATGTCCTCATGATGCTGAACACACAAATTTTAAATACACTTTTCCAATTTTCATTCCACTAATATAGAAGTGTGTGTGTGCTTAATGTGTGACAGTCTCTTGTATAAACACACAGCTTCTGCCAGTTCATTCTTCAAATTCTGAGCTATTTTCTTTCTCTTTTTACAGTAATTCAAGTCATTAATTTTCAGTGAAAATTCCAAAATTAATTTTCATTCTTAAGAGGAGAAGAAATAGTATACAAATGATAAAAAGCTTGCAACTCACCAAAACCTTTAGGACCTTGATGAAGGCTGCCTTCTCCAAGAAGGGCCCTTCCGGCCTCAGGTCCAGGGCTGCATGGCAGGTGACTTCCTCCCCGTGGTCGTCCTGCCGAGCAGCTATGGTGTGAGTCACCACAACATCACTGGCTTCATTGTCACTGTGGTCCTCAAAGGTCTTGACATACAGCTCCTCCTTCCCTTTATGCAGGGTCACAGTGAGGTTCTGGACGGGGGCAACGCTGAAAACCCGGCATGTCAAGTTATATTCCTTACCCACCTCCATCAGTGGCAATGGATCCAGCACTACCTGCTCTGGAATCTCTGGAATGATATGTGGAAGCACATTGGGATGGGATGGTAAGAAGAACACTGGGGCCTCATTTGAGCAGTGGAAGGCTTGGTTTCTGGTGGGCGGGGCTTGAGCCCCTCCCTCCCAGGTGGGCTCCCTTCAGAGGGACCCTCGGCCTCCCCTTGCTTCTTGCCTCAGACTTGCCTCATGTTGCATTTAGTTTCTCTCATTATGTTGTTTTGTTACAGTTTTCTCTCAGTTTATTATTAAAGCTTGTTTACATTTACACGAGCCACTTATTTCTCTCAAAGAAAAAGAATTTGCTTAGGGAAGGTGTGGAATGTCCTAAACTTGGGTGAGTGAGGGGATATTCCCAGTTTGCCAGGAGGATTGGTTTTGCTAATCACCCTCCACCTCCACAACAGGGATTACACATGCATGGCAGCTGCTGCTGTTGAAATCCCACAAGCACCCACAATACGTTTAAAGCATTATGATGCTACTTTAAACACTCATGAATACTTTAACCCCCCCCCCCAAGAATTCTGGGAATTGTACTTTGTTAAGGTTGCTGAGAGTTATTAGAAAACCCCTCTCCCCCTCCAAGAGCTACAATTCCCAGAGTTCCCTGGGCAGAGCAATTGATTGTTAATTAACCACAGTGGGGGCTGCAGAGCTTTTGCCACAATAGGGAAATGCATGAGAAAAAGGGGGTAATTGTTCAATGCACAATTGTACATAACCTACCCATAAATAAATCAAAATGAGTGCTCAATAAATAGCCAATATCTTTGTGCAACAAATCAGGATGACTGCTCCATAGACAGCAGAATCTCCAGGAAGAGTAAGAACTCAAGGTGAAGGGACAGAAACAAAGGAGAGGTGGGCTGTTTTCTGCTTTACTTGATGATATTTGCTATTTGCCATTCCCATGACCCTCAGGCTCCTCCTTAACCACTAGACATAGTCAGGTTCTGCCACCTGACATGCCACCCTTAACCTTCCACTACTATGTCACCAGGATCCATCCCTCATAGAATCATAGAGTTGGAATAGACCACCAGGGCCATCGAGTCCAACCCCCTGCCAAGCAGGAAACACCATCAGAGCACTCCTGACATATGGTTGTCAAGCCTCTGCTTAAAGACCTCCAAAGAAGGAGACTCCACCACACTCCTTGGCAGCAAATTCCACTGTCAAACAGCTCTTACTGTCAGGAAGTTCTTCCTAATGTTTAGGTGGAATCTTCTTTCTTGTAGTTTGGATCCATTGCTCCGTGTCCGCTTCTCTGGAGCAGCAGAAAACAACCTATCTCCCTCCTCTATATGACATCATTTTATATATTTGAACATGGCTATCATATCACCCCTTAACCTCCTCTTCTCCAGGCTAAACATGCCCAGCTCCCTTAGCCGTTCCTCATAAGGCATCGTTTCCAGGCCTTTGACCATTTTGGTTGCCCTCCTCTGGACACGTTCCAGTTTGTCAGTGTCCTTCTTGAACTGTGGTGCCCAGAACTGGACACAGTACTCCAGGTGAGGTCTGACCAGAGCAGAATACAGGTGGCACTATTACTTCCCTTGATCTAGATGCTATACTCCTATTGATGCAGCCCAGAATTGCATTGGCTTTTTTAGCTGCCACGACACACTGTTGGCTCATGTCAAGTTTGTGGTCAACCAAGACTCCTAGATCCTTTTCACATGTACTGCTCTCAAGCCAGGTGTCTCCATCTTGTATTTGTGCCTCTCATTTTTTTTGCCCAAGTGCAATACTTTACATTTCTCCCTGTTAAAGTTCATCTTGTTTGTTTTGGCCCAGTTCTCTAATCTGTCAAGGTCGTTTTGAAGTGTGATCCTGTCCTCTGGGGTGTTAGCCACCCCACCCCCCAGTTTGGTGTCATCTGACAAATTTGATCAGGATGCCCTTGAGTCCATCATCCTTGAGTCCACCCTCTGCATGAGGCCCATTCAGGCAGTCAGGGTGGAGAGTCTAGGGTGGTCAAACACCCTACTTTACAGGGGACAGTCCTTTAATTAAGACTTTCAAATATTATTGGGAAGGTCCTCTGCTTGCCTGGCTGCCTAGTCCAAGGCCAGCTTAAAGATGAAGAAGCCTAAGGAGGGAGAGCAGAAGGCACCTTGAAGTTGCCTCTCAACAGACAGGAGACTGAACTGGCCCACTATCCACAGACTCTCCGTGATGTGAGCTGCATTAAATTTCTATTTAAGCTCCGGTCATTCTTTTTAAATGTATGCATTTATGCAAATTTTATGCAAATCTCTGTCCCTCTTTGTCCTATTTTTTATGATGCATACAACAAAGGGCCACCACAGCGATCAGGAGAACATCCACCAGATCCCAAGAAAACTCCTTTGGAGCCAAGGCAAGCATATTCACGCCTATTAAGAAATGTGCATTTGAGCACCTCTCTTTGCTCCTAAGAGGTGATACACCTCAGAACTTTCAAATGGTGCTGCTGATGCTGGGATTTGAGAAAGGAAGGGATCTTAAGCTGTGGGGCATCCACTGCAATGCCATCCTCCCTTGGGAAGGAAACTAGCTTGGCCTGATGCCGTTCATCTTGTTCAGTCTCTGAGGCCAAACTGGCTTGGATTTTGTAATTGCCTAGATCAGAGACTGCATAGGGGCGAGCCACTACAAGTTCCCTAGAGAAAAGGAAAAAGATGCAAACACCACATTTTGTTTTGTTTTTAAAATAGCCTTTGCTTCATAGCTACTTACGATACACCGTGATGTTTGCATGCACAGATCTGTGCTTTCCGTAACAGCTGAAGGAGCACTCTGCAGTGGGCGCCCACTCCGTGATGTTCACAAGCTGGAAGGCTGCCCAGCCGGTCCCATTGTCTCTCTTCTCCTTGATCAGAGATGTCTCCAAGCTTCCCCTGGCATCTGTTTCCTGACAGCTGGCACTGCAGTTCAGCCAGAGAGACCCACCATGCACCACCACAGGGTTTTTCGGCCAAATGGTCACATCAAAAGTGTGCTGTTCAGCTCCTGAAACAGTGCACATGCTCATAAGCATTTTGTCAGGGAGTTGGCAAAAAAGAAGAAGGTCACACAGAGATTGACAGGGTCCTAAAACAGAGAGGATCTAATATTCCTTGCATTGGGGGCTTGGACTGCTCTACATGCCACAACCATTGCCCACCTGAGCCAGGGCTCGGACTGTCCTCTGTTTGGCAGCCCTACCTAACTTGCACTCCCCAGCAGGCCCATGCAGAGCTTGTCTGAGGCCCAGGGTGGGAGTCCCAAGTCAACTGGGAGGGGCAGGGCATTTTTGGCATGACAGTGTAAGTCTGGCAGGCCCCTCATGATCCCCCAGCTGGTCAGTCCTCTGAGGCCTGAGTAAGTGTACAGACCCTCCAAGTGTCCCTATTTTCCAGAGACAGTCCCAGATTTACAGAAGTCACCCCGGTTTCTGATTTGATCCCAAAATCTCCTGCTTGTCCTTAGGACTTCCCTATTTTCATCCAAGGGTGTGGAGTTATGCGATCCCCAAGCCAAGAAGATAAGTAACTATACATCTGAATGCAGCCCTATATGGGGAAGGTTTTTTTAATGTTTAATGTTTTATTATGTGTTTATATATGTTGGAAGCTGTCCAGAGTGGCTGGGGAAACCCAGTAAGATAGATGGGATATAAATAATAAAGTTGTAGTTGTTGTTGTTATGGAATAGGGTGTCCCTATTTTAATCAGAGAAAAGTTGGAGGGCGTTAGTGTACCTGGCTGCCACTGCTCTGCATGGGCCTGCTCTTCAGCATGTTACCCAAGGCAGAATGTGGTCTTAAAAGTAGACTATGGGCAGAAAGTTCCCCAGCACTCGACTGGACTTTTGTATTTCTTAAGTGAAAGTTGAAACTCTTTCTTTTGCTCATACTAAATTTTGCTTGTACAGTGATACTTCGGGTTACAGATGCTTCAGGTTACAGACTCCGCTAACCCAGAAATAGTACCTCAGGTTAAGAACTTTGCTTCAGGATGAGAACAGAAATCGCACAGCGGTGGCAGCGGGAGGCCCCATTAGCTAAAGTAGTACCTCGGGTTAAGAACAGTGTCAGGTTAAGAACGGACCTCCAGAACAAATTAAGTTCTTAACTCGAGGTACCACTGTACTATGTATAACTATTGAACACTGCAGAATTTGCTGTGTTCCACTGGAATCCACTGACTGGGAGCGGCTGCCAGGACTATATAATACCGGTCTTAAAGGATTTACACTGGTTCCCAGTACATTTCTGATCACAATTCAAAGTGCTGGTGCCAACCTGTAAACCCTACATGGCCTTGGTCCTGAAGGAGCGTCTCCACCCCCATCGTTCAGCCCTGACACTAAGGTCCAGCTCCAAGGATCATCTGGCGGTTCCCTCCCTGTGAGAAGTGAGGTTACAGGGAACCAGGCAGAGGGCCTTCTCAGTAGTGGCGCCCGCCCTGTGGAACGCCCTCCCGTCTGATGTCAGGGAAATAAACAACTATCTGACTTTTAGAAGACATCTGAAAACAGCCCTGTATCAGGAGGTTTTTCATGTTTGATGCTTTATTATGTTTTTATATGTGTTGGAAGCCTCCCAGAGTGGCTGGGGCAACCTAGCCAGATGGGTCAAGTATTAATAATAATAATAATCCCTTTTCTGACCCCTGGTCCTGTGCTTCACACTCAGTTTAATTGGTTGTTGTCGGTGTCTCATCTTTCCAGTCCTAAATTCAGTTCTCCTCCTTCCACATCAGCTTGCAAAGTATTTTGTTTAAAGTCCCCATGACAATTCATCAATTAGCTTCTCTTAATATACACAGCTTTGTATGAAATTTTATCTCATAAACACAGTTTTGCAAAGCAATCATTCCAATTACAATGCATTTCCATACATTGTTGTTGTTTAGTCGTTTAGTCGTGTCCGACTCTTCGTGACCCCATGGACCAGAGCAGGCGAGGCACTCCTATCTTCCACTGCCTCCATACATTATTTCCACTAATATATACATCTTTATGCATGCTTTGCCCTAGTGTTTGCCCTAGTATAGATTACTCAGCTGGAGAACAGCACTGCAAAATTCTGAGAGGTGTGGATTTTGAAGGGTGGCTGTGTTTCAGTTTGTGCATTGTTTCAGAAAGTGAAAATTATGCAGATTCACCTTTAAATGCAAACTTAATTGAATTCTCCATCCCTTTGTTGTTGTTTTTGTTTAGTCGTTTAGTTGTGTCCGACTCTTCATGACCCTATGGACCAGAGCACACCAGGCACTCCTGTCTTCCACTGCCTCCTGCAGTTTGGTCAAACTCATGCTGGTAGCTTTGAGAACACTATCCAACCATCTCGTCCTCTGTTGTCCCCTTCTCCTTGTGCCCTCCATCTTTCCCAACATCAGGGTCTTTTCCAGGGAGTCTTCTCTTCTCATGAGGTGGCCAAAGTCTTGGAGCCTCAGCTTCACAACCTGTCCTTCCAGTGAGCACTCAGGCCTGATTTCCTTCAGAATGGATAGGTTTGATCTTCTTGCAGTCCATGGGACTCTCAAGAGTCTCCTCCAGCACCATAATTCAAAAGCATCAATTCTTCGGCGATCAGCCTTCTTTATGGTCCAGCTCTCACTTCCATACATCACTACTGGGAAAACCATGGCTTTAACTATATGGACCTTTGTTGGCAAGGTGATGTCTCTGCTTTTTAAGATGCTGTCTAGGTTTGTCATTGCTTTTCTCCCAAGAAGCAGGCGTGTTTTAATTTCGTGACTGCTGTCACCATCTGCAATGATCACGGAGCCCCAGAAAGTAAAATCTCTCACTGCCTCCATTTCTTCCCCTTCTATTTGCCAGGAGGTGATGGGACCAGTGGCCATGATCTTCGTTTTTTTGATGTTGAGCTTCAGAACATATTTTGCGCTCTCCTCTTTCACCCTCATTAAAAGGTTCTTTAATTCCTCCTCACTTTCTGCCATCAAGGTTGTGTCATCTGCATATCTGAGGTTGTTGATATTTCTTCCGGCAATCTTAATTCCGGTTTGGGATTCATCCAGCCCAGCCTTTCACATGATGAATTCTGCATATAAGTTAAATAATCAGGGAGACAATATACAGCCTTGTTGTCCTCCTTTCCCAATTTTGAACCAATCAGTTGTTCCATATCCAGTTCTAACTGTAGCTTCTTTTCCCACATAGAGATTTCTCAGGCTCCAGTAAATCCAGGAATGGAAATATCTGCCAATTTTGGTTCTCTTTGGTTTTCCAATTTTAAATTTTTATTTGCCACATTTCTGCAGCAATTTGTGATGGTTTTAAAATCCTCATGAAAATTCTTCAGCATTTTAGTGTGAATTTCTCCTAATAAAACACATTTTTCTATGTAGTTTTGACTAATGTACACAGTGCTGCTAGCAATTCCTCCTACTATAATGATGTTTTTATATGATATTTTCACCAACATATTCTATAATACTATGATTCAATTTAATGCACACCCCCAATACATGCATGTTTGTAAACACTGGACTCATTGACACATCACTTTCCCTGCTGCTTCCACCCAGGAAAACCCGCTCTTTATCACTGAAGGCTCATCCAGACTTCCTTTTGTGGCATGTTTCTAGGCACAAGTTCATGCTTTAAAGCCCGGTGTCTGGGTGCTAAGCCCACTCTTTACTGCTGAAAACAATTCCTTGAAAAACCAAATTGCTGTTTGTTCCAATTCAGCATTAAAGATCAGGTTATCCTGTGGAAAGTGGCAGCAGGAGAGAGAGCACCCACTTCTGCTCCACCCCCCCTACACTGATTGCTATGTGGCCCCCGATAGATTGCCCCCCGCTTTCAGAAGGGAATTATGCCCTCCATGGGGGGGGGATGTTTCTCCATCCCTGAACTGGAGAGTCCATGAATTAAGGAAAGTGATGAGCAGATACAAAGGAGATCTGCAGCATTCATAATTGTGTGGAAGGAAGAATGTTGTTAGGACCAGCTTTAAATGGCCCAGCTCTGCACCCTGTGACATGAAGTGGCTGCTGAGAATCCGGGGAAGGGTCAAGAGGCTGCTCCTCCAACAACTAACTCAGGGTCACCAGAGCTGCAGAAGATGAGGAGTGGCAGGGAGAGTTGGTGAAAGGAAGGGGTTTTATGGTGGAGGAGTGAGGTGTTCCACAGGTGGAGCAAAAGGAGCAGAAGTAGCTAAGAAGACATGCTGGGTGGTTAGGAAGGAATTTCATCCATCCATCCATCCCCCACCTTTTCCGTTAATGGGACTTAAGGCTCATGGACAAAAATAAGAACTGCTAAAAACATAGAAAAAACAATAATTAAAGAACAGTTAAACACTGATAGAATACACACACACTATTCAAACCATACAAATAATTACAATAAAAACCAGCATAGCACCAGCCCTTTCATTAAAAGCAGTCAGTTACCAAAAGGTCTTCACCTCCCGCCAGAAGGACAACAAGGAGGAAACCATTCCGGCCTCCCTAGCCAAGGAGTTCCAGAATTGCCCAGGAGCAGCCACCACTGAGAAGGCTCTCTTCCCCAGCAAGTGTGCCTGGGGGGGGGGCAGGAGAAGGGCTTCCCACAAAGAGCTCAGGGCCCAGGCAGGTTCGTATGAGGGAAGAGGGTCTTTCAGATAGCTTGGACCTCAGCCATAGAGGGCTTTTTAGGTCATAACCAGGACAGTTTGAAATGTGCCCGGAAACAGACTGGTAGTCAGTGGAGTCTACAGTTTTCAGTGAATGCCTTTGACGCTTTCAGGGCCCATCTTATTTTGGGTGATTCTAATTTTTAATTGTAAATTTTAAAAGAGTTTTAAACCATATTTTAAATTGATGTAACATGCCCAGGGACCTTAGGGTGAAGGGCAGGTAAAAAATAGCAACAACAGTAACAGACACAGAGCAATAATTTAGATACGTCTCTGTCCTGGGGTGCTTTCAAGCTAAACTTTGCCACAAGCATGGCAGCAGAGAGCAGGGAGGAAGACATATGCATTCCGTTCAGTTACGTATAGTTGTGTCAAAGAGATGCACAGTGGTGTGTGATGTGTGTGTGTGTGTATACAATGACCAGATGCATAAGAAGAGCCCTGAGGCTGGATCAAGCCAAAGCATCAAGTTCTCCAGCGGCCAACCAGGTGCCCCGAGGGGACGCCCACAAGCAGCTCCTGTGTGCAGAAGGAGAGGGTTTCTACACCTTTAATAGTGGAAAAGCTGCCATCTGTCAACATTTTCTGCAAGAGGGAGAGGAGTCCTGCTGTTCTCCTTTGCTTCTAGTTGTGTGAATGCAACAAGAGGGAAGTAAATTGTTGCAAGGGCCCTTGAGTCTACAGGATACGGCAAGGGAGCCAGAACTCCACAATCATGACTTCCAGCCCCTCCCTTTCAGAACCCTGTCTTTCAACTCCGCCGACGCTTGAATTGAGACTTCTTTGGTTTTGATGCTGTGGTATGGGAAATAAGAATTATTAATTTTTTGGCCCTGACCATAAGCAGAGTATCTCTCACGCACTGCTGAATACCACAACCATCCTCCGTGGAGTGAGAATTAAACTTCAGAACTCCATTCTTAAAGACAGAGATAAAACCTCAGGGCAGACTATGATCCCAGTGGACACTTTACTCGGACATCCCCTGGAAGAGAATCCAAAGCACCTCTGGGAACGCACAAACACAATTTTCTTAAACAGCGGGAGGTTTTCTTACAATCAAGCAGTATATAAATTTTGTTAAATAAATGCAGTGCTTAAACCATCGATTGAAAGAGCTTGAAACAAAAGCTTTCCTCACTGGTTCACTTTATACTATAAGCCAAGAAGAAGGAGTCTTATCCTTTCCCAATGAAAGCCGGGGAAAATGCAGGATGCAGCATTAGAGGATGGTTTACAAAGGGGGGGGACGACGACCCGCAAGCTGTCTGGTCACAGGCACGTGCCGAGTCCCTGTAAGATATCTACAGAGATGCCTGCGCGCGCGCCTACACACACACACACACACACACACACACACGGCTGGAGAATGACCTCCTTGTTTCTAGCCTCGCACAGCCCCGGCGAATTCATCCAGCTGCATCCATCTCAGCAGATTCCGTTAGTGGCAAGGAAAGACGAGCCTCCCCTCCAAGCCCCCTTGCTTTGTTACCAGCTCCCCGAGAAGCCCATCGCCATCGACTGGAGGAAAGGAGCGCATCGGCTGAGACCCTTACCTGCCAGCCCCAGAAGCAGCAGCAGGAGGAAGCAGCAGCCGAGCAAGAGATGTCCGAGTTTCTGGGTCTTCATGGCTGAGAAAGCAAAGCTGAGCTGGAGAGAGAAGCCTAGAGAGCGGAGGGGGGAGAAGGCGGGGAGGGGGCTCTGGATTGGTTTAGCGTTGCTAACTTGGTATCTAAGGAAGAGGAAGCAGCAGAGGCGGCGCAGAAAGCAGCAGAAGCCGGAGACCTGCTGTTCTCGGGGGCCAGAGGCTGCGTGTTTCTCTTCCCACCCGCCTCAACTCCTCAGGACGAGACCCGGCCCCAGAGCATCAGCAGAATGGTCCACCCATTCCTGCATCCCCATTTCCCATTGTGGGCAGCGTGATGGATGCCACAGATAAAGGTGGGGCGGGGAAATGCAGGACCCCCGCTCGGATTGCCACAAGCACAAATGGGTCACCTGAAAAAATGGGCAGAAGCCCCCTGCCGTTTAGTAGTCTTCCAGGTGCGGGTTGTGAACGGCACAGAGGAAGAGAAAGAGCCGGAGAGGGAGAAGGAGATGAGGTGCTTGAGATCTTGGTGGAGGAGTCAGAGAACTTGTTTGCACAAACCTCTTGCTCTTCCAGCAGGGGGAGCTGCCTGACTGCGGAAGGTCTTGAGCCTTCTTGGGTCAGCACCTCCCTCTTAAAAAGCCATGGCAGCAGCAGAGCAGAGGTGTAGGGGGGACGAGGTGGGGGGGGGCGTCACCCCGGGCACAGTTTTGCAGATGCACAAGGCAGTTGTGAGCTGTTGTGCCCTTTTCAGCCCCCTTCCAGCTGGAGGGCGCTTGAGAAGGACACAAACAGCTCACTGCGCCCTGCCAGCCCAACGCCTTTCTTTCGAGTCTCACAAAGTGCTGCTGGCCTCGCAGGGTGCCATGCATGCACCCCTCAAAGCCAGCTGGCCAGAGGGTGGGGACCGGTCCGGCGGTGTGCCCCCATCCCCAAGGTGTGCCCCGCCCCCATGGCGCACTGTGAGTGCCCTGGCACACACTTGCCTGCCCAGTGGGGAACACTCTGCCACTGCAACAGGAAGATAATTTGGGGGAGGGCACAGGAAAAGCAAAGTATAGTTCTGGGTGGGTGAGCTGTGCCCAGGGGTGGGTCTGCTATGAAACTAATGAAGCTTAAGCTTCGGGCCCCCTAACCCTGGAGGGCTCCGGAAGAGACTTTAGTCCACATTGTTTATCAATTTCGGGTCTAGGAGAACCAATTTGAGTGGCACAACTCAAATCTTTCTATGATGCATCATGCATGAATGTAACAGTTCTCTAATTTTCATCCCCTGCCCCATAACTTGAAAACTATAAGGCATAGGCAAGAAAACTATAAGGCATAAGGAATTTTTATTCACACTTTGACATGTGAGATAATACAGTAATTTTATTCAAAATTTGAGATGCAATAGTTTTTTTTTTAAAGAACAACCCATTGTAGAAGAGAACAGTGGTTGCCCAGACCTTGTTTCTGGTTGCAAAGGGACCTCCATTACAGGTCAAGCTTCAGGACCCCTGAAATGTAGGTCTGCCACTGGCTGTGTCACACACCTCTGAAGAAAAATAGCAGTATGAAATAGCATAATGACAGGGGTCCAGCAATTGGGGCAGGGGGTAAGTGAGGGGAAATCTCCTTTGGGGGGGGCATGTGCTCCCTTGCCTCTCTTCTGGCACTGCCCATACTAAAAGGCCCACTCCCTCCAGGCCCTTCTTCCTGCATGGTGACAGCTGTCATCAAAATGGGAAAGAAGACACCCTTTTTCCTGCTTATTAATTGCCAGGTGTGGTTTGCACAAAAGGAATATGATGATGATGATGATGATGATGATGATGATGAAAGTGGTGAGGATGATGGTAAGTTCATCAATATGGTGCATATAAGACTTGACAGAATAACATTCCTCCTTCAGGAGGAGGGAATGGATGGATGGATGAATGAATGTAAGTCAGATTTTGCAATCTAAACCAGCAGATTTTGCAATCTAAACTTTAACATTGTCTATCAAAGGAGACGCAAGGGTAATGAGACAAACAAATGCAGTTACATGTATTTAAGTATTGTTTCAGTTGTGGTAAGAACACAGAGGGTCTCTCAAGATATTTGTTTCTTTTTATAATTTTTTCAAAATACTCACTATTTACTGTGAAACAAGTGACTCACTGTGTCCTTACCACAACTGAAACAATGCTTAAGTGTGGGATAATCAACATCATATAACCAACATGTGGGATAATCAACATCATATAACCAACATGCCTAAGTCTAATTAATGCATGAAGGGGTTAATGTTATAGAGTAAGCTGCTCTGCCAGGCTTAGCTAGTTTATTCCCCTTCACCATGGAAGGAAGGTAATAAAACCTATTGTTCCCTCCCAGTCTACCTGAGAAGCTAAGGGTGTGAAGAGGTCTGAGCTGGTTACTCTAAGCTTAAAACACATGACTCTTACAAGCCTTTAATGTCTTCCTATACCAATAATTTAGGCACTTTCACCACTGTAACTAAGCAAAGTTCTACTGCCTGTGTTTTCTGAATGCTGTATAGAAAAGCACATGAACCCGACCTTTGGAGAGTTTGTAAGTAAACAATTTTGTAATTTATCAAATGTGTGGTCTTTCCTTATGCTAGGAGAAAAGGGGATTATTTTGGAAAGAATTTGGGCATATTTTAAAGGTCTAACAGACTAGATTTCCATGCTTTAATTTGCTGGATGTTTTGTGATTTTAAATCTCTGCTGTGGTTCTTTCACCAAAGTGTACCAACAGTAAGTCACCACAAAGGAGAACACAAAAGACAAACACCTGGGCGGGGTGCCACTGCCCCTCCCCTAGCTAGGCTCTGCAATGGCATTTCCTGGAGGAGTCCTACCCTACTTCCTGATGATGATGCCCTGCAAGGGCTTTTTCTCAAAGAATGACCTAGCTAAGCCTGGCAGGACCGCTTACTCTGTGGCATTAACCCCTTCATGCATTTATCAGACTTAGACATGTTGGTTATGTGAGGCTGGTAATTAAAAAGAAAGAAAGAGACTTGCTGCTGGGAGGGAGAGGCAAGTGCACAGTGGCAGCACGTAAAGGGTGGGTGGCAGCGGGGATGCTTTGCCTCAGGTACCAGAATGTCTCCTGCTGGCCCTGCTTTGGGCTATGAACATTGCTGTGAACCCCTTCAACTGAGCCCAGAAATGAACTGTCAGCAAATGCACTGTTTTTGTGCACTCTGCTTTGATATTAGTACATAATACACACAAATAATTTTAGGAGTAGTGGACTTACAAAAAAGGAATGTCTAAAGGGAAATGAAATGTGAAAATTTATTGTGAGTGATGACTAAGTCCTTAATGGTAGTAATTCACAGAACAGGTCTTCATGACACAGACACTGTGGCATTGGCAAGCCAATTACAAATATAATGCACTTTTTAAAAAAAATGTTTCCATCAAGTCCACAAGTAATTGCACTGAACCTCTTGATAAAGTGTAATAATTCTGCAATTCCACACTGTAGCCTGTCTTTGAAGTTTATTTTCTTTGAGTGTCCTTCCTAGAACAAACTTCAAAGGGAGACTGCAACATGAAACTTCACACACATGCACACAGAGACACACACATCCAGGATAATACTTTGTGCATCTGATGAAGCAGATTAATTCATAATAATACATAATATTAGTTGTTATTGTATTAGTTGTTAAGATGAATCAATACACCTTGTTGTTTTTACGTACCAGAAAACTGCATCAGCAAACTCCTAAGGATAAAATGGTAGAGAGCTAGAGAACCATGCCTTTTCCATTGTTCGAAAAAGGCTGATGTCCCTCTAGATGCACTTTAGTGGGAAAGGAGAAACTCATAGACTTAGGCTTCTAATGGGCTGAGATGAGCACTACCAAACCAGAAGGTGGGCAGATGACATAACTGTAGTGACAGATGGCTCATCCCCTATTTAGGAAGGAAAGCAAGGGGCCATATTGGACCCTGGACACCTTCAAGAATCTGGTCTTGTGGGTGTGCTGATAAGTCTTGCCAGCTCCTGGAGAGGATTCTTTGGCAAGCCTTCTTGTTCAAAGGTTGTTCCAATGGCAAAAGCTAGGCTGCCTAGATCCATTTCATTTTGCTCTCCTCTCTGGGACAAAAGGCAAACTTTCAGAGAACCTCTCAATTCCCAGCACAGGGCAACCTTCCCCAACTCTGAAATGCAAACTGTGCAGCAGGTACAGCTAGAAAGCACTTCAAAGTGGTCACCCACATTGGCCTGACCCTGGCTTAGGTGCCACTCATTCTTGCCTCGGCCCATACCTGCTTCTGGAATTGTGTGCATGTGCATAAATTAGCTCTGTTGCCATAAGGACTCAGGTGGCAACCATCTCTCCCCGCCCCCATATTCCCCTCCTACCATGGCCATAGCTAGGGGGTGGTGAGGTGGGCCCCCACCAGGGGCACAGGCAATGGGGGGGGCAAAATCAGCTAAAATTATGTCCATAAATATAAATATCAATTATTGCCTCATAAGAAATTGTTTTAAATAGAGGGTGAATTGAATAGTTGGAAGGGAGCAGGGTTGGAGGAGAGGTGGAAAGAAGAGCTAACTTGTCAGTGGCTGGGGGGCGCAATCTGGATGGTTCTGCCGGGGCGCAAGATCACCCAGCTACGGCTCTGCGTCCTACCTCCGAAACAGGAGCTTCCAAAGGGAAGATCTATTTAGGGCAAGTTGACTAGCACTGACCAGCAACACCGTTGTGGGAATCAGCAGGTGTAGTGGTGAAATGCCTGTGCATGTACCTGTGGCCCAATGTGTCCACTTCATTTTTTACTTTTATTTTGCAGGGAAGGCCGTCCTTGGAGAACATGCCCTCAGTGAGAGAGGTGCTCCTTGCCCCTCTCCCTTTGGGCCATATCTCCTGCCTTGTCCAAAAGGGAAAGGCAAGGCAGGTGAAGGTGAAGGTTGCTCTTCTCACTGCTGAGAGAGGGAAGGTGGTCAGCAGCAAGTGGAGGGGCATAGCCCCAGGGCTTTGGGGTCAGTGCAGTGGGTCCCTTGCTTGGATGGGGGGCCTAAGCAGGTGCCCAACAATGTCAACCCCTGGTGCCAGCTCTGATGCCAATCCTAAGCTATTGTGAGACTACCAGCTCACCGGTATGCCCTCAGCTTTGCTGGCTTCCTCATTCAGCCTGCCCGCTCAGTGGCTAATTTGGCTACGGAGCCTCCTCCCCTGGACCACCAGTCCTAACAGGTTCTATGAAAGCATCGCCATCCATCTGTAGCCCAGGTGTGAGGAACCTTTGGTCCTCCAGATGTTGCTGAAGTACAACTCCCATCAGCTCCAGCAAGCATGGGAGTTGCAGTTCAGCAACATCTGGAGGGCCAAAACTACCTCACACCTGGCATAGCCATTGCCTCCGCAGTAGCAAATGCTGGTTATGAATCTACATTTGGGAAGTAATCCCTTGTGCCCAAGCAGGAGGAAGCTTGCTAGGACCAAGGAAAGACCCTGCAGCACTGATATGTTCATAGGTCTCCAGCCTCGAGATTCACAATGCGTGGATGGCAATGACGTTTAAGGGCAAAGTCCACCTGCCCCATGGATATCTCTTGTTCCCAAAGGTGCAAGGTACATCTTCAGCTTGGCTATGTGATTAGATGCTTTAGCTCAGAAACTGGAAGGAAAGATGCAAGATGTAACATGGAAAATCCAGCTCCGGAGCAGAGCCAAATGACATGCTCCAATAAACCCATTTTTTAAAATAACTTTCTATGGTTTTGATCAGTTTGATCAGTTTATGCATCCTTTTAAAAGTGTTTAAATTGATAAGATGTTCTGGCTGGGGTTCTGCATCAGCTTTCTGCTTTAAAAAAACAACATTCCCCTTCTCAGCTGCTATTTGCCCTGAAATTAGCAAACAGCTAATTCAGAACAAATTGCAGCTAAAACAGGGTCTTTTTTCAGGCAGGAAATGGCATGGAATCCAGATCCAGGAAGCCTTGTGGCCACTTTTTCTTCAAAATAAAAGTAGGCAGTTTAAGCACATTTTAAAGGTGGGTTGATTGTGATGCGTCATTTGGAATATTCAGATGGTGCACAGACATGTGTTTTTTATTTTTATAGTTTTCAATTGTTTTTAACTGTTTTGTGTATTGTGGGGGAGGTTATTCGGCTGTTTCTGTTTGTGTTTTTACATAGTAATTTTATCTTGTAAACTGCCCTGAGACCTCAGGTATAGGGTGGTATATAAATTTAATTATTAAGAATAATAATAGCCTGAGACAGGCCTTTTGTGGTTTTGGCACACTGGTGCCTATGATGCTCCCCTCACTTATTTCCTTACCTGGCATAAAGTGGGGTGGTTTTTATCTGTCTGGTAAAAATTGTTATTTTTTCCTGAGTTTTGTGCCAGCTCCTGCAGCCAAGCTGGTGCCAAGTGTATTGCTCTGCTTTCCTTTGGGCCACATCAGTTAAGCTGATCTTCTCTGGGCAGCCCAGGACCTCCCTGCACACTGCCACAGACAGGCTTGTGACCCATGAAGGTCACTTCAGTGCTGCTAGCACAGCAAATACCATGTAGGAGGCAGCATTACGGGCTACCAGTCTCGGCAGCCACAGCAGGCGCTGTGATTCTCCAGCGGTTCCTCTTCACCCCTGGAGACTCACTCCATTGTCTCTCAAGACAGATGAATGCCAACAACAACAACAAAATCGGCTTTTTAATGGCTTTTGAATAAGTTTTCGGTGGTTATTTTTTAAACAAGCCCAGAGCATTCTGCTATTTGTCTTAATTGTTCTGTTGTAAATTGGTTTTAAAAATAGGTTTTATGCCACCTTGGAAATGTAGTGCTGAAAGGCAGGATAAAGCAAGATTGGACAACTGGATGGATGTCTGCTGCTGGCCCCTTCCCTTCTCTCACCTCACCTGTCTGCTGGCTTGATAGGCTTGCAGTTGCTTTTGGGTGTGGCAGGTGCTTCTCAGATGCCTTATTCTATCATCCTTGACACGCTTGCAGAAAGCTCCATTCAACTCAATGAGTTACTTATGAGTAAGCATGCACAAGATTATGCTCTTATAGTCTGACTGGGAACAAGCGGCTGCAAGGGTTATTCCTAGCAGCAGCCTGCATCTCAGTAATAGGAATAACAGTCTGGGCATATGGGGGCAGTTTCAGCCTGCACTTGAAGGTGCCAGGTGGTTGCAAAAAGCCTTTTTGGGAGGCATGCAGGGTTGCTATTTCAAATTCCAACCCAAAAGCACACTCTTGAATCACGTAGAGATGAAC